GCAGCTAGGGAAAAGAGAAGTACAACATACAAAGGCAAGCAAATCAGACTAAGCTCGGATTCCTCAACAGAAACCATGCAGTCAAGAAGGTAATGGGGAGACAAATATAAAACCCTGAAAGAAAAAACTGCCTAACAAGACTCCTCTACCCAGCAAAGTGGTGTAATCAAAACATTCCAGTATAAACAGGAGGTAAGGGATTTTTCCAATGCCAACCCTGTGATGAAAAACATCCTAAAGGGAGTTCTGTGGACAGAGAACCAACAAGAACAGACAACAACCAGAGATTGACGTACATGGCAGCATCACCTGGAACTCATCTGAAAAATGAAAGAGTCGAGAACAGATTAAAATTATAAGAACAAATCCAGAGAATCTGGGAGGTCAGTCTATCATGAAAACAAGTACAATGTGAAAGAAGGTAAACACAGAGGAACAGTGATCCAAGTGGTGGGAAGGTCAGGTAGATTACAGGATAAAATAGACTGTCTTATATGGAGGGAAAAGTTAATGGAATATAAGGTAACCACAATGGTGGGATTGGGGTGGGGAGTTTAGGGGGAGGTGGAGAGAAGTGAGGGTACAGCACAGGGTAAAGGCAGACACATCATAGTTTGTGTGTTGGGAAGGGCAATACAAGAAGGACGAGAAGGTAGAAGAAGAAGGTAGACAAGGGAACACTGAGACAGGTTTGCCTGGGCTAAGTGCAACAGAGGTAAATAGTGAAGCATGCTTAACCTTGGAAAAAGAGGGCTCGATGATACACGGATCTAGGCATAGTCTGAAGAGGGGAATTCATACTAAGATGCTTGACTATCTTATGAATATTGGTTTCCCTTGCCTACTACTGTAAAATAGACATTTGAGCGAGATAGAAAGGAATGTCCAGTAACATGATTACAGAAAACTTGTAAACCCATCTTCAGCCTGTAACTGACTGGAATACCTAAAAGGGGTTCTAGAACTTGCCCAGTGAAATAGGCTTCTTGTGGAACCTTTGCAGCGTATAGGACATTAGGTAGAATCCTGAGTGCCATCCAGAACCTTCTGAGGTGGGGCATTCCCACTAGTAAGGACAAGCAGACCAGCCTGGAAAAGCTAGAGCAACAGAAGATGCATCTTCAAAGAAAGATCATCAGGAAAAACCCCAAACAAAAATGGCAGTATGACTGGTTACTATGAGAATAAGCAATCTGTTCGCCGGGAAGCCATCAAGGCAAACAATCAAGTCCCTTCAGGACAAACTCCCTCTAAGACTGAAACTCAAAGGGAACACATGAACAGGCATGTAAGCTTGCTGATGACCATACTGGTATACCGGTGAGTGGAAGATGGGGAAAGGCAGCAATGAAGAAATGGGCTGAGTTCAACCACAGTCCATCGACTCCCGTTGACCTGGAGATGAGATAGAGAAGAGGAAGGGCTGCTTGTCCAGTGTGTGGTGAGACCTGGGGATACTGAACCCATGGACAAAGACACAGCCACAGAGCGCTAGGGCTGAGAGTGAAGCATCCAGCTGATATGAAGTGAGGGGAGAGGCACAAGAACACCCAAATGTGCAGATAGTACCCATCTGACCTAGCCTCAATGGCTTGATAATCAGAACTCAACCAGAGGAAGATTACAAAAAAAAAAAATAAATAAAATTTTTTTTGATAAAGGAAACAAGGGTAAATTGCTA